ACATCAGAAGAGCCCTGCTGGGTCAGACCAGTGAGGGTCCATCTAGTCCAGCATCCTGCCTCACACAGAGGCCAACCAGTTCCTCTGGAGGGCAAGCAACAGGGCACAGAGGCCGAAGCCTTCCCTTCATAAGAACATCAGAAGAGCCCTGCTGGATCAGACCAGTGGTCCATCTAGTCCGGCATCCTGTCTCACACAGTGGCCAACCAGTTCCTCTGGAGGGCCAACAACAGGGCACAGAGGCCGAGGCCTTCCCTGATGTTGCCTCCTGGCTCTGGGATTCAGAGGCTTAGTGCATCTGAATGTGGAGGTTCCCCTCAGCCACCATGGCTAGTAGCCACTGATAGTCAATCCTCCATGAATCTATCTAATCCCCCTTTAAAGGTGTCTATTCCTGTGGCCCTCAGCACCTCCCCAGGCAGCAAATTCCACATTTGAATCACTTTCTGTGTAAAGAAGTATTTCCTTTTGTCCGTCCTGAACCTACTGCCCTGTCAGCTTCATTGGACGCCTTCGAGTTCTAGTATTTTGGGAGAGGAAGAAAAAATTCACTTTTATCAATTCTCTCTGTCCCATACATACATAATTTTAAAAACCTCTATCATGTCTCCACCTTAGTCGTCTCTTTTCTAAACCGAAAAGTCCCAGACTCTTCAGCCTTTTCTAATAGGGAAGATACTCCAACCTGTTTGTTTATTATTTCTTCTTTTGAAGGAATCTCCTGTCTTCTCCAATATTTGGCATATAGTATAAGAAAACCCGTCCTTGTGATCTTAAGTCCCTAGGAGATGTCCATCCAACAAACTGTCCATGGAAAGAGGTTCCTTGGCTTCCCTTAGAACATTTCGTTGCTTCCCTTGCAGTTAGGGAACTCTTCATAATGGATAACTCAAGCGCGTTGGCTTCCCTGTACCTTTTAAACAGTTGCTACTTGCGGTAACTTTTCACAGGAAGTTGCTTCTCTGCTTTCACCTCCTTCCTCTTGGCTGGGTCAAGTGTAGCACGTTTTATTTTCCCACCCCTTTCCCCCATCCCGCTGCAGGCCGGACACCTCCACCATCTTTGTGGCGCTGGGGTACGGGTTCTACGCGGAGCTGACGCTGCCTGAGGCACTGGCCTTCATTGAGAAGAAGAACAAGCTATTGAACGAGTGAGTTTGGAAGGAAACCACCCTTCCCACCTGTCCCCAAATGACTCCAAAGAAGTTGACTCCTTAGAGGGTGGCTGGCCCAACGATATCTCCCTTCCCCCATCTTGACCAGACGTCTTTTCGGGCTAGAGTTCTTAAACAGAGGATTCTCAGCAGAATTGTAAAGATATTTTTTTCTCCCTCTCCCAAAATACTAGAACTCGAAGGCATCCAATGAATCCTGCTGGGTGACCTTGGGCCAGTCACAGTACTCTCAGAACTCTCTCAGTCTCACCTGCCACACAAGGTGCCTGTTGTGGGGCAAGGAAGGAAAGTCAATTGTAAACTTTTTTGAGACTCGTTAGGGTAGAGGAAAGCAGGGTGTAAAAACCAACTCTTCTTCTAAGACGTGGGAACTGTCAGTCCTAGAGGGGACAGTTCTCTTTCGAGCAGTCCAATCCCTGCACATTTGCTTGTAAATAAGTCCTGCTGTGGTGCGTGGGGCTTGTTCTCAACCTTATTTCTGCTTTTTGCATGCTCAGTCAAGGGGAGCCAGTTAGCCACCAGAAAGAATTCACCTTTTTTGGTGTGGGTAGAAAGCTCAAATTTCCCATTTTGGCAGAAAGCTCAAATTTTCCAGCAGGGGGCTTTGGGACTGGGGGGGGGAGGCTCGTGCCCCCCAACATGGTGACGTCACTGGTGACATCACCACGAGTGACTCTCCTCTGAGGAGAGCTGAAGAGGAGGCAGTCAAGTCCGCACCAGCCAGCCAGCGAGTCGTCTCTCTGAATGTCCTCCAAGAGCCGACTTGCTGGCTGACTGGCACTGGGGCTCACCGGGGCCCCCCTGGCTGGCACTGGGGCTCCCCGTAATCGAAAGGGGGCGCAGCCCCTAAAGCCTCACCGCTGCCTATGGCCCTGGTCACATTGTGAGAAGACCAGACTCACTGGAAAAGATGATAACGCTAGGCAAAGCTGGAAAGCAGCAGGGGAAAGAGGAAGACCCAGCCTGAGATGGAAGCCATGGGCCTTCTGTTTGCATGGCCCGAGCAAGGCCGTGAACGAGAGGACGTTTTGGAGGTCACAGGGTCGCCGTAAGAAGAAGAAGAAGAAGAAGAGATTGGATTTATACCCTGCCCTTCACTACCCAAAGGAGTCTCAGGGCGGCTTACAAACTCCTTTCCCTTCCCCTCCCCACAACAGACACCCTGTGAGGCAGGTGGGGCTGAGAGAGCTCTTTCAAGAACAGCTCTGACAGATCTACGGCTTGCCCAAGGTCATCCAGCCAGGTGCAAGTGGAGGAGTGGGGAATCAAACCCGGTTCTCCCAGATTAGAGTCCGCGCACTTAACCACTACATCAGTCAGAGGGGACTTGATGGGACTTGGATTTCTAGTCAGATTTTAAGCCGCTTCAGAGATCATAGCTAAAAGGCAAGATACGATTATTTGAGACACATTAAATAAAAGGGACGATTCCTCCCCATAATCAGAGGCCAGCTAGACGAGGTCTAAGTCCTGCCAAGGTTTATTGGACCCGATCCATTCCTCTCCCTTACCTACCTACGGATTCTGTCTCAACAGGACTGCCGAGACCCTCACCAAAGACTCCACCAAGATCAAAGCCAATATCCGGATGGTTTTAGAGGTAATGGCGTGGGCGGGGTGATGTTTTTGCCGTGGGGGCGGTGGGGGCCATATGGTGTCTTGGAGGTGTCAAGATGCTTGAGGGGAGGAGATGCGTGGCTGGGGTGAAAGGGGCTGATCTCAAGGGTCTGTGTAGGGTTGCCAACCTCCAGGTGGGGCCTGGAGATCTCCGGGAAATTGGACCTGATCCCCAGGTGACAGAGATCAGTTTCCCTGGAGGAAATGACTGCTTTGGAGGATGTACTCTATGGCATTACACCCCACTGAGGTCCATTCCCTCCCCCCAAACCCCAGCTTCCCCAGGCTTCAACCCCAAAATCTCCAGGTGTTTCCCAGCCCAGGCTTGGCAACCTTAGGTCCAGAGGAAAAGAAAAAGGGCTTATTTTCATGGAATCAGTTGGACATTCATAGAATCATAGAATTCCAGAGTGGGGCCATACAGGCCGTCTAGTCCAACCCCCTGCTCAGTGCAGGATCAGCCTAGAGCAGTGGTGGCAAACCTATGGCACGGGTGCCCGAGGCAGCACTCAGAGCCCTCTCTGTGGGCACACGTGCCATCGCCCCAGCCAGGCCCAGACCGTCATTAAAGTGTAGAATTCTCTGCCAAATAATTTTAAGTAAATGAAACCATTTGGGATTGCTTTCCTTACTTTGTTTGGATCATCTTATGCTAATGTATGAGTTGTTTTTTCTAAACTAAAACCTCAGTATTCAGGTTAAATTGCCGTATTGGCACTTTGCGATCAATAAGTGGGTTTTGGGTCGCAGTTTGGGCACTCAGTCTCTAAAAGGTTCGCCATCACTGGCCTAGAGCATCCCAGACAAGTGTTTGCTCAGCTTAAAGACAGCCAGAGAGGGGGCGCTCACCACCTCCCTAGGCAGCTGATTCCAATGCTGAACAACTCTGATTGTAAAAAAGTTTTTCCAATATCCAGTCGGTGCCTTTCTGCCCTTAATTTAAACCCATTGTTGCGAGTCCTCTCCTCTGCTGCCCACAGGAACAGCTCATTGCCCTCCTCTGAATGACAGCCCTTCAAATACTACAAGAGAGCAATCTTGTCTCCCCCCCTCAACCTCCTCTTCTCCAGACTGGACATTCCCCAGTCCCTCAGCCTTTCCTCCTAGGGCTTGGTCTCCAGGCCCCCGATCATCCTCGTCGCTCTCCTCTGCACCCGCTCCATTCAAGTTGGCCGCCTTTCCTTCTCCCCTTCCCCCCGCCCCATCCTGTCACAGGGCTTGCGTGAACTCCAAGGGCTTCAGGACCTTCCAGAGGAGGACCGACGGGAAATTGTCCTTTAAGCACCCGCCTTCCCCAACCCCAGCCGGGGTGTGTGAGGATATTTCCAATGTCTGACAATGCTGGAAGAAGAGCCGGTCTCTTGTGCATTTTGGCGGCAGTGGGAAACTGCGCTTGTAGCTGGAGAAACACCTCTCAGTAAGGCCCAGCGACTGGGAGGCGGTGACTGGAAATTGGGGAGGGGGAGACGAGAGGTATTTCTCGTGGGCAGGTTCGGGCAGGTTGGTTTCTAGCCCGGAGCTTTTGCCTCTCTTCCTGAGGCGCTTCCTCGGAGCGAGCTCATCTCGGTTGTTGGAAGCAATAAAAGATTCTGCGTTCTGATCCGTCTCGGCTTTTTGACCCGTTGCTTCAGCCAGTTTCCTTCTTGGGCTGGAAGGCATGCCAACTGTGCTGCAGATGCAATGAAAGTGTTAGTCCAAAGCAGTGTTCCCTCTACGATGAGTTAGTGTGAGCTAGCTCACAGTTTTTTAGCCTCCGGCTCACACGTTTTTGTCTTCGCTCAGGAAGGGTGGCTCCAGAGCAAACTAATTTATGCAATAGTCAAATCGCTCGCTCACAAATTTAATGCCAGAAGCTCACAAAGTGGAATTTTTGCTCACCAGACTCCACAGTTTAGAGGGAGTATTGGTCCAAAGGTAGTATACTTACAGAGTCAGTCCTTGTTGGTATCTGCTTCCAGAACCAGAAAAGAAATCAGCAGCAGACCAGACCACAAAGGGGCTTGATCGATTTTAGCTCTTCTGCAGTTCTCTGGATCCCTGTCTCTCCTCCTGGCAAGAGTCTTTCCCTGGGAGAATTCTCCCTGTGCGCACACTTGGAATGGCCAGTTGCCACGGAGGCAACAAGCAAGTCAGAGCTGTGTGGCTAAAATCCTTGTTTGTGACAACAGTTTGTTCAAGAAAGACACTAAAATAATTCCCAAAGCTGTTGAATTCTTTATTGTATGGTTGTAGGAGATAGCTGAAGGGGCCATGGTGGCTCAGATGTTAAGATGCTGAGTTGCAGACTGGAAGATTGGTAGCTCGGTAGTTTGAGACCCGAGTGCCATGTGACGGAGTGAGCTCCTGTCTCCGGCCCCAGCTCCTGCCAACCTAGCAGTTCAAAAGCAAGAAACTGCAAGTAGATAAAAAGGTACCACTTCAGTGGGAAGGTAACAGCATTCCGTGTGCCTTGGCGTTTATTCATGCCGGCCACGTGACCACAGAAATGTCTTCGGACAGCGCTGGCTCTTCAGCTTGGAAACGGAGGGAAGCACCACCCCCTAGAGTCGGATTCGGCTGGCTTTTGAGCAAGGGAAACCTTAGGAGACAGCCAAAGCTGACTCTCAGGGTGGGGGGGCAGTGTTCCCTCTAAGCTGTGCGGATGAGTGGCCGCTCATGAACACAGGAAGCCCCGCTCAGCAGCCGTCTGGAGCCTGCCCACTGCCCGCTGTAAGATGGCAACAGTTCTACTCAGCTCGAGATGTGAACTGCTCCTCTCAGTAGGGAAGAACAATTAGAGTGAACATTGGTGGGGGGGTTACCTTTCCCAAGTACATTTATAGTCCCCCAAGATAAGCATGTGCAACTGGATCTTGGACGTGGAATTTTCCAGTGAAACTGACTCCTTAGTCTCTTTTCTCTGCAGCTGGCACAGGCCGATCCAGTCCAGTTAGTTCTAGTTTCGAGGTCACTTACCCGTCTTTATTTTTGCAGACACATCTCGCCTAGCCAATTCACCCTTCTACTGTGTCTCCCCCTGCCTCAGTTTTACTTCCACAATATTACAGTAATGTAACACCATAAAGGGGCAGTGGGGGGCTGTTGTCCTCCCCCCCCCCGTGAGTTTGGTACTGCATCCTACACCCTGAATTATGACTTGAGATTTGGCATGGCTGAGCAGCTAAGCATTGAGGTCTTCAGTGCATGTTTCAGTTCAAAAGCATACCAACAAGGGTTTCCCCCCACAAACATGTTTTTCCCCCCATCTTCCTTGTGGCAGCTCTGTTTTTGGGAACATCTGCATGATGCCGTCCAAGGTTTGTCCTGCTTCTTCGTTTCCATGTTCTGCTGTGATCTTTCCCATACCTGGTTTGTTATAACTTTTTTGAAAGATGGCCATCAAAGTCCCTTTAGATGCTTTGCGGGCAGGAAGAAGAAGAAGAAGAAGATCGTGTTTTATGCCCTGCTTTTATTTGCCTTAAGGAGTCTCAAAGTGTCTTGCAATCGCATTCCCTTCCGCTCTCCACAATGGGCACCTTGTGAGGTAGGCGGGGCTGAGAGAGTTCTGAGAGCACTGTGACTGGCCCAAGGTCACCCAGCAGGCTTCATGTGGAGGAGGAGTGGGGAATCAAATCCAGTTCTCCAGATTAGATTCCATCACCCTTAACCAGTGTGTTTTCTTGCCTCAGCCCTGTGGCTTCCAGATACAACAGAGAGCTTTTTTGCAGGCTTTCAAAAATATTGGGGACTGCTATAGTATTATAATGATACAACACTCTGTTGTCATGATCTCCTAGTTCTCAGCTTTCTTTTTTTTTAAAAAAAAAAGCCTCTAGCCCTTTTCTGTGTGAAGTGTTACAGGAAAAGGTGCAGGTTGCACGTAAGCTTTTGTGGATTAGAGCCCACTTCTTCAGATGCTATGAGGGAATTCTCATGATATGGTCATTTTAAGTAGGGGTTATGACCGTGTGGTGAGGATCACAGCATCTGAAGGAGTGGTCTCTAATCTCCAAAAGTTTATGTTGGAATAAAATGTTTTTTTAAAGGTGCCACAAGACTCATGTTTACTTTTGGTGAAACAGACCAAATCACTGGATGGCCTTCAGACTTTCTACCCTGTCAATGGTACTTAAGCGTTGACTAAGGATGCTCAACTGGGAGCTTGGGGGGGGCGGGCGGCAGAGGCAGTTGCTAAAAAAGTTAGACCCCTAACATAATCTCTGATCCTAAGGAGTCCCCCACCACCACATACTTCAGTCCCTGCCTCCCAAGCAGAGAAAAGAACATAAGAGAAACTATGTTGGGTCAGGCCAGTGGCCCATCCAGTCCAACACTCTATGTCACACAGTGGCCAAAACACAGGTCCCATCCGGAGGTCAACCAGCGGGGCCACAACTCCAGAAGCCCTCCCACTCTCCCCAAGCACCAAGAAGACAGAGCATCACTGCCCCAGACACAGTGTTCCACCTGTACCTTGTGGCTAGTAGCCACTGATGGACCTCTGCTCCAGGTGTTTATCCACCCGCTTGAAGCTGTCTATACTTGTAGCCACCACCAATGCTCCCTCTAAGCTGTTGAGTCTTGTGAGCAAAGATTCTATTCTGTGAGCTACTGGCATTAAAATTGTGAGTGAGCAGTTTGGCTACTGCATAAGTTAGTTTGCTCTGGAGCCCTCCGTCCTGAGCGAAGACAGAAATGTGTGAGCCAGAGGCTAAAAAAACTGAGCTAGCTCACACTAACTCAGCTTAGAGGGAACACTGGCCACCACCACTTCCTGCAGCGGGAAATTCCATGTATTAATGACTCTTTCGGTGAAGAAGATCCAGACTTGACAGTGAGGCAGGGGGCAGTTTGACCATCTTTTCAGGCCTTCCTGGGTTGGAAATCTGCCCCTCTGTTTGGTGTAGTGGTTAGCCAGTTTGGTGTAGTGGTTAAGTGCGCAGACTCTAATCTGGGAGAACCAGGTTTGATTCCCCACTCCTCCACCTCCACCTGGCTGGATGACCTTGGGAAGCCATAGTTCTGATAAGAGCTGTTCTTGAAAAAGAGCAATTTCTGTCAAGAGCTCTCTCAGCCCCACCTACCTCACAGGGTGTCGGTTGTGGGGAGGGGGAGGGAAAGGAGTTTGTAAGCCGCTCTGAGACACCTTTGGGTAGTGAAGGGCAGGGTATAAATCCAATCTCTTCTTCTTCTGTTAAAAATTCTGTTCGTGAGTGGAGACTTCGGATGTCGCAGAGCTCTTTTATATATTCGCACCCAGATGTGTGATCTCCCCATTTCCTTTCTGCCTGTGGCTTTTTTGAAACGATGCCTCCTTTTATAAATGAAACACAGGCCCTGCAGATGGCAAGGGCTTCTCAGTGGGTCTGTACTTCCTGGCACGCATCTCATTCCAACCACTTTCTGTCAGTCGTGTCCTGGCTTTGATTCCCTGTGCGCTCAATTCAAACTGGGAAATCTTCCTTGATTCAGTTTGGCAGCTCAAAAGCAAGACTAGATCCGCCCCGCCCCCCCGCCTCCCCCTATGCATCTGGCAACTGCTTAAATGTAGATTCTCTTGTCTCTATAGGCGCCCGGTATTTACATTTCTGCAAACCTCACGATTTCTGTGATCTTTAAAAACAGAAAAACCTTCCTAGATTCTGTTGCCTCTCTTGGCAATCGTTTTCCAATTTAGGAAATGCTGCTGTGGAATTCAGTCTCCTCAGAAGTTTCCTGATGGGTTTTTTCCCTGGATTTTGTCCCAACATTGTTTGAAAAATTTCTCTCCCTGTCCTCTTGTCATGAATCTGGCTTATACTTTGGCTGATGCTCAGTCATAAGCAATTCAACCTCTCGCTTGAGTGTTTTCCCGGTCTCCAGCAGCACTGCAGGATCTGGCCACTGAGCAGAGCTCCCACATGTTGCCCTACGCTAGGAAAGTATTTACCCTACATTGTTCTTGCATTAATAGCTGGCCGATGGTGGTGAATTTTTATATATATATACTGGGGAGGAGCCTTCTCTTGCACTACCATTCCACTGAGGAAAGTTCGAAGCCTTCCTTCCAACAGATGAGCCACTGGGAAAAGGCTGTGCCTCAGTGGCAGAGCATCTGCTTGACATGCAGAAGGTCCCAGGTTCGATCCCCAGCATCTCCAGTTAAAAGGACCAGGCAGCGGGTGATGTGGAAGACCTCTGCCTGAGACCCTGGAGAGCCGCTGCCAGTCTTGAGTGCACAAGACTGACCTTAATGGAAGAAGAAATTGGATTTACACCCCGAAGGAGTCTCAGGGTGTCTTACAGTCTCCTTTCCCTTCCCCTCCCCACAACAGACACCCTGTGAGGTGGGTGGGGCGGAGAGAGCTCTGAGGGAAACGGCTCTTTTTCAAGAACAGCTGTGCCAGAACTATGGCTTGCCCAAGGTCATCCAGCAGGTGCAAGTGGAGGAGTGGGGAATCAAACCCCGTTCTCCCAGATTAGAGTCCACACATTTAACCACTACACCAAACTGGAGCAAGGGTTGGATTCAGTATAAGGCAGTTATGCACTGTATTCTTGGTGCTGGGGGGGGGGGCAACAGTGGGAGGGCTTCTAGTGTCCTGGCCCCACTGCTGGATCTCCTGATGG